CCAACCTAAAGGACTCTATGATTCTGTAATGGCACATCTGCAAACATTTCCATTTTTTCTTTGTTAAATGCACTGAGGAAAGATTGACCCTCCACAACTGAAATGAACTTGGGCAGTTCTTTACAGGTATGCCTTTCTACTTCCAGCTATCAGGGAGGAAAAATGTTGATTCTGAGAGTGACAATGAAGACTAGGAATTGAATAACATTCCAATAAACACTAGGAATTTAATAACATTCTAATACACAACTTATGTGTGTTTGTTCTTCTTCTAATCAGTGCATTACAGGGATAAGTACAGAAAATATAACTGTGATTACACAGATTTAAGTATTAATTACAAGAGGTGGCAAAACATGGTGCTCTCAAGATTTTATGTAAAATCCACTGAATTAATTGAGCCTCCTTAGATACCAATGGGCTTTGACTGAGTTCATTAACCGTATTAAAATTCATCTGTTGTTAAACACGCTTAATACAATAGTATGCAAATGCTGTGATTTGTAAATTGTCATTATGCAAAAGTTCAAGTCCAGTCTTGCTCCTCTTCACGTCTGCAACATAATTTCTGTAGACATCAATAAGAGTATGTCTGGGATATCCATTTTTAATTGCACTGTATACAAGTATTGACAGGAGAATACAATACAGTAGTCACAAAATTAAAGAGGCTTCTATGAAACCTACAAAGAAGAGCAGCACAAAATCAATGCAGTAAAAGCACTATTTCAAAAAATAACAAATCATACTTCTCAGTTTTGTAAAACAGTACTGAAGAAAAAAGACAAATGAATTGGCACAGTTTAACAACCTAATTTCTAAGTGCACTTTATAATAACTCTCCTTACAAGCTGCTGTTTTCCCAGAAGACGATGACGAAAAGCCTCATTAGAACATCACTGTTTTATAGAGACAGGTTTTATTGCATTGCCAGCTGTGAATCTAAAAATAAAAAAAAAAAAAAAAAAGAGAACCCCCCCCAAAATACTCCTATAAAGGTTCCTAAAAACCCTGTTTTCTTTTGTTATCATCAAAAAATAGCAACATAGCACTTCCATGTTTGTGAATACCCACAATTCTATTTTTAAAAAAAATAGAAGTTAAAGAAAAGTGATATTTGTTGTAGCTTCAAAAATAAAGAAACGTTTGAGAACAAGATATTTCAATGATCGGAGAGATATGTACAACGGGATAGAATTGAGTCCAATCCTGCAAATACACATTCACGGATGCAAACTTGAGAACCTGTTGATCCTAAGTGTAACTAAAGACTGGCAGGATCAGGCTTTTGGCTTCACCCATGATAAGCTTTTGCACAATCTGTTCTAGGCTAAAAAGTATAGATACAGTATATACTCTGTATATTGATTTATACAAAAGGTCTTTTAACAGCTCTCTTCCTGTTATTGCTAGGCTAAAAACAAACATTTAGAACAAATTAAATGAATCATAAAGGATAAAATTGAGAAGCAGCTTCTGATGACTGAATTTCCACTTGAGCCATTTTAAACTGGGTACACTGTAGCCATTTGCGGAGCACAGAGGAGCTGTTGTTCATTTGTCCTGACCCCTGTAACATCCTTAGGCTGTGATGGTTGACATTGCTCTGGATAGCTTGGAGGCGTAGCTGGAGTCCAGCAGATAAGTGCTGTTGAAATAATGCAAAACATTCAGTTTCTTTCCTTTAATGCATAGATTAATACAGCACTACTGGTTGTTGGCCAGGGAAAGTTCCTCCACTGCTGCAATGTCACATTTCTTTCTTCCACATCCTGCACTGTGGTGTTGCCATGAAAGGCAAACGTGCTTACAGGAAAAAACTCCATACTGAGACCAGCTCTGACACTGTGACTCTCATCACCAAAATTCTCGTGACTGGCAAACCTCACTGATGCACTCTGCCCTCCCTCACAAACAGGGCCAGCTGGCACCATTTTACCCCAGCAAGCAGGCCCACAACATCTGCTGTATAGAATCCAAATCCATCTCCTGAGTCAAGAGTCCCAGTCCTGATTCGTAAGGGACTCTCAAGCCTCATCAAGGAAACCACAGCTCAGGGGAAATCCAGTGTCAGTCAACAGGGAGGGAAGGCCCTGCTGCACAGCTGGTTAAAGTGTTTCAAAAGGGAGAGGGAGAGCAGTATGCTACGGGGCAAGTGTCTTAGCTGATGGTGCTCTGGGTATGCTCACGATTAGGACCTTCAGTGCTGAGCCCTCCAGTGCATCTGGATATGCTACCATGATCTACTTTCAGAGTTTGGAGACCACATTTGGTGATCTTATTTCCAGAATGTACGGAAATGTATAACACTAAGAATGAAAGTTTAAGGTACTAGAAACAACCTACCTTTAGATTAGACTGTATCATTGGCAACCACATTGGTATGAGCTGTAAGGAGAGAGAGATATTTTCTAATTACACAAGTGACTGTAAACATGGTCCAGTTACTGTGAGACAGAGAAGGGTACATCTAACACATTGAGCACTTCAAATGGACATAGCTTGAACAACAAATCTGAAAATATGGATATTTTTAAATGATGCATATATTTTGGGGCAGGTAACTCTCAGAGGTAAAGAAGCCAGCTTCCCTTATTTGTAGCTTGATGAACCACGAGCAGCAATTACTGATATCGTGTTCAAGGCAACGATCAGAGTACAAACAATAACATTTCAAAGGAAATAACTTATTTTTCTTGCGAGGATGTTTCTCTTTGTGCAGGTGAGGAATACTGGAATAAGTACAGTAAACATTCTGCAGGGTGAGGTGTACAACATGAACTGAAAAAACAACATGCAGAAGTAGTTCCGGATAATAGGCCAGATATTGAAATGGTAACCAGCATTTTATGAGCTACTAGTCATATCAGTGCTTTACTGCGGAGTGTGGCCTGTAGGGCTGGGAGCATAGCTACAGACTCGTAACTATTCAGAACAACAAGGTGAGGAGGTCTGCAAATCTGTCACCCGTGACTGGACTCATCTGTATTTCAGTCCTCTGCTCTTCAGAGAACTTTTATTTCTGAGCAAGTATAACACGACAAGCTCATGGAAGGCAGGCATTTCTAGCAAATGCATTCATGTTCTCCAATATTAATTTAACCACTGAGGTTATTGTTCTAAAATGTTCCTCTAAATGCCATTACAATTTGCAATTTGCCAATTATGCTACCAGGAGCTGCAAGTTAAACCTAATCACTATTGACAACATTAGATAAAGTGCTGCTTCCCTTGTGCAAAGAATGATAATTGTTTCAGTGCTGTTTTGCTGGAGAATCGCATGCAGCTCTGTCAAGACTGATTACTTAGTCTACCACGTGAAGAACCATATTCAAACCTCAGCAGTTACAGATAGATGAGGAATGCCACAACAGCTGGAATGCAGCCAGATGCAGCAGACATGTGAGTTCTCTACTTCCTTCTGTGGCTCCCACACTAATGAAGTGCTTAATAAGATACAGTGACCATAAGTCCTGATGTGTTTTCTGGAGAGGAGAGAACAGGCAAGCACAGTGATAAGCCACGCTCTATGCCCCACTGCCATCAACAAAACATCACTGGAAACTTCATCCAGCATTACTGAAGTTCCTATGGAGCTAGCCAGTGCTGGTAAGAGTGGTGCCAGAAGTGTGTCAACCAAGGAGGGAAGCTAGGCAGAAAACTTGGAGTACCCCTCTGCATCTGCACCAATTCATTGGACATCTTTTACAGCCAGCTGGGAGAATCAAACACTTCACATCCAGTTCATCTTGTTCCAAAGCAGGTTTCTAAAATAGATCAAGATGAGTCATGTCCAAGAATGCCTGTTTATCTCCACTGACTATAAAGGTCACTCATGGAAACTATCTCATATTGATATCTGTGCTGTAGAGGTCTCAGATTAGATACAGATCATTGTCCTTCTGTGCCACTTCTGCACTTCTTCTTCCAAGGTCTGGACACACGTAGGGAAACTAGACATTCTGCTGCAGGCACAAGCAAACAAACCCTCCACTCCTACAGCTGCCAGTAAGATAAATGAGACAAGAAGACATTTTTACTGAAGCACCTGAGTTTTGTCACGTAATTTCTGGCCAGCCTTCTCTTCACAAAACAAGAATACATGACATTAGTTAAAAAGAACAGCTGGAAGAACAGACTGCTGTCAGACACTGTCAATTTTTTGGAGTTTACATTTGCAACAGAATTATGTTGATTACAGTGTAAGTTTTGATGGAAATCAGGATGGAGAACAGGCTGGTCACTGTGCTTTTCTGGTTCCCTAATTCTGTGGCCTGCCCAGTTCTCTAGACGTCTATGCAGCAGCTGCTGGAGTTGCCTAAAACCCCTGGATCTCTGGAAAAGACGTTGTGGACATATTTCTCCCCTCATTTGTCATACAGAAAATGGCCACCTAAGATAGCTATCCCATAAACTGCCTGACATCATATGGCATGCACCACCATCTCACTGTGGTGCATTAAAAATACATATCTGTTGAATTATGGGATGATTCCATTAACAAATGAAGGTTTTTTGCAGCATCTGATTTCTTAGGTGGAATAAAAGACACTAAAGTAAATATAATTACATGAATGATAAATGGCCAGGATTTATCAGTGCTACTGTGCTCAGTTCTAAGAGGAATTCATTGGGAATTATTAATTTTGACAAATGGATCTCTGTAACAGTGTTAAGAATTCTCTCACTACACTATACCCTTTCTTTCCATGAAAACTAAACCTTGTTAGAAAGTCTTATATTTGAAAAAATGTCTTTAAAGCACAAGATAAAATTGTTTCATTACCCAAGGCAGGGCAATAAAATATTGTCTAGAATAAAACAAGCTACAAAACACCTGCCCAGTCAACATCTTGGACTGGCTGAAAGAGCAGCTCATATATCTTCCAGGGACAGGCATGATCACTTTAGCATCCCACAGTGGCAGAATTTCTGTAATGAATCAAGTCATCATTGACTATAAATACATATTTTCACAATGAGTGTGAATACTTTCATGTCAACTGACATCACGACCTTCAATTTTAGCTGCTTTATTTTCAGTTCCTGTTTGACCATAAAAGACTGGAGTAAAATGTGAGAAATTTCCTTTATGGCAGCAGCAGAACTATATAAACCAACGTACTTCAGTAACATTCCTAATGCATTTACCTACATGGTTTGTTGGCATTTTATATGAAAACTGCCTTCAGAATAATGCAACAAGAAAACATGTAAAAAAGGCTAGTAAAATTGATTTGTGCTTGTGAGGCATTCCCAGTCCTTCGGGAATCTGTTCTGAAAATGCTGTGGTGACTGACAGGAGACTGACCATTGATTTAAAGAAAAAAAAAAACTATACATGAATGGAGCATGCAGGATTGATACTCTAACCAAAGAATACCCTGTTACACATCCTAGGGAAGAAGATTCAGTATCAAATAATATTCAATGAAGTTGGACCTCTAGGCATATAATAAGAAAACAACTGTGTCACAAAGTCTTTGTTCTTATCCTAAAAAAAAAAAACACAAACGTAAAGATCAGAGCAGTGAGGTGATCTGCAAAGGATCTATGATGATTAAAAGTTATAGTATGGCTCAAAATACAGGCAGTCCCTAGAGGTTCTCAAAGTCAGCATCACCAGTTGAGTCTATTAGAGGAATAAGATCGTTGCAACAATGGAAGGAAGAAGTAGATCAGATATTAATTTTTAAAATAATCAGGAGAACTTGGATTTGAGATTATGGTCTGGTCTAACTAGAGATTTTCTTTTTGTTGTGCTCTATTAGGTTTTATTTCTGCATAAGCATTCAACCTCATCTTCCTCCACTTTCTTTTTTTGAGTGGGAGGGGAAGCAGATGACAGTATGTCTAGAAATCACAATGGACAGGCAACATCATTAACTAAATATTCATGGTGGGATATGCCTACCTTTACAAAGATAGTAGAGTTGCACTCCTGTAAAGCCTCCATTAAACTGATCACGTGCAGGCACACCATTTCCACCATCTTGAAAAACAAACAAACAAAAAAACCACCACAAGCATAAGACCAAATTAGTGTCCAGCATAACAGTGTTGTAAACTAAGCCAACAGCCTCTAAAAAGGCTTCTCCTGTATTTGGTTGGCAGTCATACTGAATCACTAGATGTGCATTTATTAACTATTGACATATATGATTAAATATTACATAACCAGAATTTTTCTTTATTTAGTTTTTCCCTAATCTGGCAACACCAATCTGTTAAATATTTCAAAGTGCTTGGTTGAAATGCTGCGGTTTGAACCCCAAGCCCCAAATTAAGGTTGACATATGGGTGATTCCCACAGCCCTTCATACAGAGGTGGTGAGTTTGCCTTATAGCTTCCCCCCAGGGTGCGGCCGGCCCTGCAGGGAGAGCCATAAGGGAAATGAGCCCCAGGGGTCCCGCACTGAGTGAACAAAGGTCGGCTGTCTGCTTGGGGATAAAAGGTGGGACCAGTGGGAGGGAGTCAGGAGTGTCTGTCTGTGGAGTGCGCTCCACAGAGCTTCCTGGTTCAGGGCAGACCTCCTGACTCTCCCTGGAGCTGGGCCCTGGTCAGTTCAGGCCTTTGTGAACGCGGGTCGATCGGCAGCGAGTCGCCATGTGGGCACCTTTTTCTCATGTGTTTAACTGGCTGGTCTGGCTGTTTCCCATGACAACTGTGGGAAACCGTAGGTCTCTGTTTGTACCACCTGTTGTGGGCCGAGTCACATCTTTTGTGGGATCATTGGGGGCGGTGTTGTTTATGTACCAGCTGATTGATCTGTTTGTAGCCCCAGCCATCTTTCATGGAATGTCCTTTTTGTGTACAGTACAGTCTGTGTACTGGTTCATCTTTCTGCTGGCTGTATCATTTTTGTTGGGCCTGGTCATTGTCAGAACATTGGTATATTTTAATTCACATCACACATCAAACCAAATTGCCTTCAGCTTTGTTCTTTCCAGACATCATAAATCCTTTTACAAGCCTTTGCTGTGTAGTTCTCATCAATCGGTGTGTCAGAAATTGATATTTTTATTTACTGAATCTTTGAAAATTAACATAACCACAAAACCCGTATTTTTTTCCCTCCATTGAAAGACAATTTATTGTTCTGAACTGTCAAGCTTGTCCATAATTCTTCCATTTTGTACCATGAATTATGACAGATGCAAATACCAGTTATTTGGTAGTAGACAGCATTTTATGTTTTACATTGTTTAAATTCATAGGTACAAGACAAATACCCTGAGCAAGCAGTGAGTATTTACAGCACCTGCCTAACCATGTGTAAATTTCCCTTGGTAATAATAAACTCAGCTTTTATGTAGTGCTTTTCATCTTCAAAGTGCTTTACAAACACTAACTAATTAACCTCACAACATCCCTGTGAGACAGGCAAGTAGTATTATCTACATTTCACAGAGCAATAGCTGAGGCAAAGAGTTTAATAACTTGCACTAAAGCCACACAATGAGATACTTTCAGAATAAGGACTGGAACGTGGGATTTCCAGGTCATATTCTTGTCCTAAGGCTCGACAAGAAGCTTTTGCATCTGACTAAACAACTGTCTGCTTAGAAGCATTATGCACATTTCCCCTTCATTGAAAGGGAGCTTCATGAACTACTGTTCTCAATAGTGACTTGTCAACTACCAAGACCTCACTAGATGCCAGAGGCTAAAATAACATTTAAAGACATCGTTAGGTGATACTTGTCTGATATGGACAAGGCAAAAAGGAATAGTAACTGGATCAAAGACATTTGAGTGCAGCCCATGCAATTACAATTGAAAGGGCAAAGGTCCCTACCTGCCTGGGGTGGAATGTGTTTCACATGGGGAAAGGGGAATTACATCACATAATTTCCATATAGATAGCAGATCTCCATTTTAAAAAGGAAAAACAAACAAACAAACAAAGAATTAAAATCCCAAACCTTAAGAGAACCTGACATAGAGGACTGGGCCACATATAAAGGATCTTACTCATTCAAAGCTAATATCAGGTTCTCCAGAGCCAGAGCTACTAGTTACAACAGCAGTTAAATTTAAAAAGTTTTCACAAGCCATGACAGACTTGTTATGACTTTCTAGGAAGTGGGAAACAATTTATCTTGCTTATCAGAAACAAGCTCTCAAACCTAAGCCTGCAGGCACAGACAACCTTTAGTCAATGGGAAGAAAAGGTAGCACCTATGATAACACTGCTGGAACCCCTCTGCTTTTTCATCCTACAAAGCTGCTCCAACAGCAGTGAGCATTTGAGATAAATAAATGCTTAAAAGTTATTTCAGAAAACGGTCTGGACAAAGCAAACATTTCCCTTTCAAACCACATCTCTAGACGTACCTCCAAGTCATTCATTACTCAAGGTTTCAGAGATATTTATGTAGCTTATTTTTGATGAGTAATCAATGGGTTATGAGTAGTCAAGTATCAGCATTTGATTTTTTTTTTTTTTTCACTAGCACATGGTAAAAATACACAAATGGATATTCACAGAATTATCCGAAAACACTTAGTTGCTCCTGTAAGGCAGAGTCAGGTGAAACAATAGGACCAGCAGGTCTGTCAAATGACACCTGATGCAGGGAACCCTTAATGCAGCAAGCAGCAACTCGAGCTCTTGATTCTATTTCAGGCACACCTGGCTAGATCCTGTTTCAGACCCACTGTGCAGTTAAACCACTGCTAATTAGCTTTCCCTTTAATTTCTCAAAAGCATCAAAGTCATTATATGATGTTATTCATAGTCTGATGTATTCCACTGGAACAAAGCCAAGCCCTCCGAGTTTAATCTGCACTCAATCTGTACACAGCAGCTGACTCACCACTTTGTTATGTGCCATTAGCTGTAGGATGCTAGGTGTCACCCGGCTCCAGAACTCCAGGGCTGTAAGGATTGCTGTAAAGCTAAATTCGTTCTGATTTTGGACTGTTGGAGCTACTGCTGTTTGTTCACAATACACTGTCCAGAGCTGAGCAAATATAAATGCATGGAAGAGGGAACACATGTGCAGAACAGATGTCTGAAACAGAAAAGAGAGGAAAATGTTTATTTAAAGAAGCGTATTTGGATACAGCACAGAGGCTTTCAAAACACTTCTCCGTCATGTATCCCACTGTGCAATTTTTTCCCTCACTTCCCCACATTTCCCTCCCATTAGGAACCAGTAAGTCAAGCAGATTCGCTAACACCTTCTACAAGTTTAAAAACTGGTTTTAAATTTACAGGCTAAAAACTGAATTTGCAAACACACACTCCCATGCAACCTGAGTGTATGGCATTGAAGCTAGTCCTTTACAGAGGTTAGTTTTGTACAACTGCTACTCAGGACTAGTTCTGAGACTTTCTTGATGGAAAACTCCATCTCAATCTGAGGAATGCCTGAAAGCTCTGGCACCTGTGACTCCATTTCAAAAATGCTGCCAGGATAAATCCTTCAGATTCCAGTCACCTGAAAGGAAGGCTGGCATACAAAATACATCATCTTACATCTGTTCTGTTAATCTCTCATCCATATCTACTTTACTGGGCAGAACTGCTCAAAGTCAGGGAAAGCAAGTTTTAAAAAGCTAAGAGAGAATACATTTTGCATACTCAAGCGTGGCTCTTTGCTAACACATGACATGTGTCACAGTGTCTGAGCTTCCAGGAGTGCTGGACATCTTCGCTATGAGAAAGATGCTTCTGTTCAGAGATGTTTTCTCAGTTTGCAAGTGCAAGTGTGATTCATGCTCTGTGGCAGAATGACTGCACTAAACATTGCAATGGTTGCTTGGTAACTGGATAGAGGTATTTGAAAGAGGAAAAAAAGGCCAAAGAAATGAATGGGGAGTATCAGTGTCTTGGCAAAATGAAGGGAAAGAAAGCGGGATTTTATGTACAAGATAAATGTGTGATCACTCTGCATCTGTTGCTAATAAAAACCTGGTTGGTGTCAAAGAGAGCTGCCATATCTGTGTTAAACTACTGTCACGAATGGCTTGTGATTTGCAGTAACTCTTCTTGCCCAGAGCACCTTAAGAAAAAAAAAAAAAGTTGTGCTTGAACCATCACTGTCTGTAACTAACTTTTATCTTAATATAATTTATAGGTTATCCAATTCTACTATAAAACAAGAATAACTAACTTTCTGAGAGAATTGCTACAGAGTTTTAGTCATTACTAAAGCTTCAGTTTGGAATTAAGTCTTTCCTTTCTCACTCCTGTGCTGAGATATTTTGCAATAGTTGAATATCAAACTTAATTGTAGTGATTTCATCACCAGTTTTCTATACTTGAAGAGGCAGCTATGCAAGAAAAACTAGAGAGATTTCTTT